TTCTACTGCTGTACTTTCCCTCTGATTGCTTTTGAATACATGTATCACTACTTTCTTCAGGAATAATCAGATCAGTTGTTGAGGAGTCATTGCCACTGGTATTAGCACCTCCTCCTGGAGGTTGATAATTAGACTTTGGTGGGCTGTAAAACAGTCCTGGCTTTGTAGAATCCCCTGTTTCATCTTCATCAACTTCTTCTTCCTCTTGCTCTTCCTTTTGGTAAATCTGGATGAGCTGATTTTTCAAAAGAGGGTTCTGTCAGTTTTAAAAGGCAAAACATTCACTTTATGACTTTTAGAACCCTATACAATTAACTAATAGATAATTTAATACTGCTAAGTGGACATTGAAAAATCAATCTTTTGAGTTGACTGCTGCAAGAAAGAAAATAACTTACAATATTACTTTTGAGTGTCCCAAGACTTTTGTTGACAATTTCAGATCCTGCTTATTCTGATTAGACATAAGCAAACATCCAATGAAAAATATACCCAAGATGGATCATTGGACCTTTAGGGCTGATAGAAAGTCCTGCGTCAATTCCACGAACACAGGAGAAAAAACTGGACTACCATAGTCCTGAGGTTAAAGATGTGTTGCACTACTTCGCCATTTAGGAAACTAATCAGTTCAGGAATACCAGAACCTCCAGCAGAACGATGATAGTACTGTTGGAACAAGAAATCGAACAATTTTTATTGTCTAGAAGTAAACTAATCTTTGCTGACTTTACCTGCTCGTTTTACTTCATTAAGACACCATATCACTCCCACAAAGAACCAAAAAAGGAATTTCTCCTTCAAATATGAAAACACTCTTAAGAAGAAAGGTCGCAAAGATTTTAAAGTTTAAATTGTGAGAAAATTATGGCAGACTGAGCACATAGAATTGTTATCTACAGTATTGTGCAAAAAAGTAACGCAAGCGAAATGCCGAATTTCGTTTTTGTTCTCGCGAACTTTCTTCGAAATTTCGTGCGAATGACAATTCGAGGCTTTTTGCGCAAATTGTCCGTTGAACAAAGAGCGCTGTTTCGTCGAATTTTCGCTTCGAAACGAAAGTTCGGCGAAATTTCGCGATAAAAAGCGTCGGTTTACTGCCTACTGCTCGAAATTTCGCGCCGGATAGACTCCACTGTTCGCCATGCGATTTACGAGATCTACCTTTCATATAACGGTCACGAAATACACATCAGGTCCTCGGCTGAAGTTAAGTCACGAATACAAACGGTGAGAAATAATTGCTTAACTTACCAAGAATAAAGACTTTAAGTTTGGTTTTATACCAGAAAAGAAAAAACATAAGCTTGTTCTGATCATTGTCATCAGATGCTCCTGTAATAGTAAATTATCTGCATCGCTTTTGACTTCAATCAATAGTACACACGTTTTTGGCCGATATGGTATCCGAATGTTTCTTTAGTTTTCGCAGATTGCATTCACACATGAACAAATTTGAATTCTGTCATTAACGTGGGAAGTTTGGATAGTGTGAAAGAGGATTCGAAAATTTACTTTGCAAGTAAGAGAGACCTAGCGCCGTTTGGTACTTGTATTCTATTCCACCCTGACGAAAACCTTCCCTATTGTTCGACTGATCTTTTTTATTTTCCTTGCAGAGAAAAATAAATCCGATTTAAGTTGCACCACGCGTATTCCGAATGGTCCCTAAATTCGATGTTGAATCCCAAAAGTCAGTTACAAATACTTCTCTGCCTTTATTCATTGACTAATTACAATAAATACAGAAACTAATGAGCAAAAACGAAGTATATGGCATCGATCCTAGTTTGGCCTATTCTTGCGGAGGTTTTGGCATCGTTTGGCGATGCTTGTCTTGCACTGGTCCTACATGCGTAGGCGGTCGTCAGTGCCGCGGCACTGATATGCGAATGATGTCAGTACCTCAGCTGAAAATAATTAAGAAAACAAGTGTTACTTCATGTTTTTTGATATGCCGGCGAGGTTTTCAAGCAGACGTTATTAAATCGTCGACACCAAATTGTCTATTGCCTTGCGTGCGTATTCCAAACCGCTTACTTTAATAATTATTCCTGCGTTTGTTGTCTGACAATTTTGTAATAATAAACAAGCGAGAGATCAAGTGCTACATTTCTAAGCTAACAGTGAAGATGGTTACGATTGGTTGAGACGCAGAGTTCTTAGCTCTATTCGTTTAAGTTCTGCAAACCCTTTACTAACCTCTAATTGCAGCAAATATGTCTTGGTCTCGGGGAGCATACTCCTTTGTGCCATGAACGGTTGATGTTGTTCTATTTTGCTTTGAAAAGCTGTTCGTGAAGGATATTTTTTTAAAATTTCTTTCGATGGCTTTAAACAAGCTTTACACCTAATCTAAATGAAAAACGGAACTATGAATTCGAATTGAATCCTTGTTCATCCGTGAATTGTTGGTTGTAGCGAAAACAGAAGTTCAGATCCAAGACCTAAGCAACCATATTTCATTTATTTTTTGATGGCAATGAGAAAGGTATGGAAGGCGAAAAGGGACAATTCAAATATATTTTTCTAATCCGAAAAAACATTCAGAATAGATGTCTTTTTGACAAATCGCTTTTGAAAAGTTTGTCAAATCGACAAAACGAAGTCAAATCCGTGATTTTCTACTCCTTTACTGAGCTTTAAAACTCTAAACCTTGCAGACCTTTATTCTTTAACCCTTTAGAAACCTCGACATTTCCGGTTCAGATTCCCCACATCAGCCACGTGAGGTTCAAATTTCCCATTCCCCAGGCACGGACGACAGTAAAATACCAGTGAGTTGCTCAAGTTTTCCTTTTTCAAAAATAAAGAATGAACTTGGGTAGGGCATTCGAACATAATTTTGGCCCCGGGGGTTGGAATTTGAAGAACTAATTTTCAAGAGTTCAATTTCCACGGAAGGGAAGTTGAAGTCTCGAACTGATCGATGCATAAGCATGAAATTTGTCTCAGTACCGACTAGCCCACAGTAATTGAATTTCGCTTCTCAAAGACGCATTAACGACGTTTAAGCCCCATAAATGAGGCTTTATGTCTCGAGTGCATCGTAAAAGGGATATGCACCTGCTCGACTGCATGGTATATCCGAAACTATCCTCAGCAAACCTCGAGAAATCGCTCTTGACCAACATTATTCTAGAGCATTCTCTTTATGCAAAGAACTAGAAAATAAACTGAAGTAAAAAGGGAAGTTAATCACCGACATAACAGGTTTGGCTTTCTGTTAAAAACGAGAACTTTTCCAATATTTTACCTCAGTGAAACCAACATCTCAGTGTTTGCTACAAAATCAAAACAGATTTCAATTTTTGTACTTGTTGTGGGAAAAATTGTCAAAGAAGTATGAAGGGGAGTAAAATGATAAAAGCCACTAACCTTATCTAAACAGGATCCTCAAATAAAACAATAAATTTCCACTTTTAGGCTCATGAATAAACTTGATTGCTTGTGCATTCTCACGAGTTCGAGTTGGTGTCTACCTCAAACCACATTCCGTTTCGTGTGTGTGGCCACTGCCAGAGTGAATTACGTTGGTATTTAAGGCTTACTTTTGATATAAATGAAGATTACTGATACGGACTTGCCAAAGGTTGGGGTTTTTCTTAGGCTGCAAACTTGAGGAAATGGTAAACTGACTCCTGTTGGAAAACGTGATGAATTTGCATATCATCTACGATTGCGCGACCTGTAAGTACTGTATCATTAATCTTAAGTTCGCGGTGATTTAATTCAAATAAATGACCAACTGCTATCACCAACAGTATACAAGAATTGATAAGAATGTTTCTTTCACAAAATCCTTCGTTCTCAAAACGGTAAGCGAATTAAACTCTGAGCGTAATTGCACATGGCTTGTTTAAATTCAATTAGTTACCTAAAATCATACCATTACAACAATTTTGCTCGAACATCATCACGTTTATGTTAAATCAAAAGATATTTCCATACTATTAGGGAACTTTCCGGACGATAAATGTACTTTAACCGTTTTCTTCTGATCGTAAATTGATTTAAGAGCTTTTAGGACTAGGTCCCAAACATAGCCAGGTCATTGCGGGTTGATAATTTTTTTTTTTTTCTTGACCATTTCATTTCCCCATTTTTCTGTTTATGAAATCTGTTCATCTATGAACAGACGTTGTTCACAGTAAATGGTAACTTCGGGATCGAGGTAACACTGGAGATATTCGGTTACTAAGTTGAGGTAAATTTTTCACAGTTCAAGGCGGCCTAAAGCAACCTTAGAACGTTGCGATCATATATTGTTAAAACTAGACATTTGCCATGTTTATTTAAATAAATGTTAAGGAGAAGGAAAGATCGTTTCTCGGATATCACCAGATTTTGAGAAATCTTTACGATAGGACTCGTGTTGAATTCAAAAGATCACCTTCGATCCGTCATATTGGCGGGCAAGTATGGGCAGACCAAGTGCACTTTCCCGTTTTTTTGGCAAGCAAAAATAACTGGAACCTTTTAATATCCATTTCGTGATTAGGACCATAAAGTAAGGCTCATGCCAAATTTTAGCCAAATCGACGGGATGAAGTGGCCGACGAAAGTTCGAAAGTTAGAGACTATCGCACTTAAAGACCTAAAAGAATATGGCTAGTCAGAGTTAGTGGAGTCCCTGTGCTAACTCTGATGGAAGTTATGAAATTTTTTGTTGTTTATGTCCAGAGGAGTATCAGAAAAAAAAATAGTTTTGTCCAACGATAAGTTTTAGGGAAATAATAAACTGTCAATCTCATTTACTGCTCTTTCAACACATCTTGTCTAATCAAGTGTAATCATGTGAGTTTGGTGGTTCTGAAGTTGTCCAGGAGAAACGGTAAGCCAGGGGACAAGAGTGACTGTGAAAGGGACAGAAAGAACCAGAAGATCATGTTCTATTGGCTTTTTGATGTGAGTCACGGCTGACATGTGTTAGGAAAAAATGGAATGGAGTAGCAGAGGTGGAAATAACCATCATGATATTTTTTATGGCGAGACACTGA